AGGGCAGGGCCGGTGTTGGGCTGGGCTCTGTCCGGCCCCAGGTGCGGGCACGGCGCCTGGCTGCTGGTGGGGGGGACCTGGGGAAGCCCCCTGGCTCTTAACCCCCATCCCGTCCCACAGCCCCCGGCCCCCGCAGCTACACCACGCTGCGCGACGAGGCCGTGAAGCTATTCAACTCGCTGCAGCAGCTGGAGTTGGAGCGGGACCCGGTGCCGCTGATGCAGGGCGTCCTGCAGACCTGCCTGGACCTGCCGCCGCTGGTGGATGAGATCTACTGCCAGCTGGTGAAGCAGACCACGGAGCCGCCGGCGCCGGGCGGGCAGGGCGACCTGCACTACTGGCAGCTGCTCACCTGCATGAGCTGCACCTTCCTGCCCTCCCCGCCTGTCCTGCGCTTCCTGCGCTTCCACCTGGACAGGCGAGTGCCGGCAGAGCTGCCGGGCGCCAGCTGCAGGCAGGGAACTTGCCGGGTGCTGGGGCCCCATCGGGTCGGTGCTACCGTGACCCTCCCGGCGTCTCTTGCAGGACGGAGAGTCGGTTCCCCGCCTCGGAGATGGCCAAGTACGCCTGCTTCATCCGGGAGGCGCTGGGGAAGACGAAGGGACGGGAGTGTGTGCCCTCCCTGGAGGAGATCCTGGTGCTGATGCGGCGGCAGGAGATGATCTGCACCGTGCACTGCCCGGGGGCGCCCGCCTGCAGCGTGGCCATCAGCTCTCACACCACGGCCGAGGAGGTGAGGGGCCGCGTGCGTGCTGGGCAGGGCGCTCGGGACGTTTTGGCACCTGGGGCTGGCTGGGCCCTGGGAGGTGAGGGGCTCCTGCGGGTCTCCCAGCTGAGCTGCAGGGGAGCGGGGCCGGGGGCCGCCTGCCTTTGCCCGCCATGACCTGTCTGTGTCCCTTTGCAGCCCTGAGCGCCGCGGCCAGGGACGCGCAGTCACCGTCGGTTACCTTTGTCTCACCCCAGGTGGCCCGGGAGCTGGTGTCGCGCCTGGGGCTGTCCCAGAGCCCCAACCTCTTTGCGCTCTATGAGCAGTCCCGGCGGCGGGAGCAGCCCGTGGGCAGCGCCACGCTGCTGGCCGACGTCCTCACCAGGTTTGAAAAGTAAATGTCCCGCTCTGCTGCTTACGGGGGAGAGGGGCTGGGGGGCACGGGGACGGGGGTGGGGGTGCCGCCCCCACGCTGATGGGGCCGGTCCCTTCTGCCGCAGCCTGGCCGGGGAGGAGCGGGAGCAGGACCCACCGTGCCGGCTCTGCTTCAAGCATTACGGTTTGCTGGACACGGACAACGTCCCACGCGACAGCCTGGAGTTCGCCCTTCTCTTCGAGCAGGTGAGAACCACACTGGGGTGGCTGTGCCATGCCATGCTGGGGTGGCCGTGCCATGGTGGCCATGCTGTGCCGGCTCACCCCGCCCTCCCGCAGGCGCACGAGATGGTGCTGCGGGGCTACGTACCCACATCGGAGGAGATGCTGCA